TTACAGATAGTAACAGTCAATACCAACTATTTTTGAAGAGCATGCTATTTGGTAGGCATATTGTAGATGTGTTGCATCTAGTGTTTTATTTAATCCCAACAAAAGCTAATGAAATAGGTGTTATTTTCTTCATTTTATTAATAAGAAACTGTAACATGAGTAAGCATTTACTTAGGATTTGAAGCCATTAATGTGATGTTTAAAAACCCTCTGTTTTCTGCTCCATTACTGTACTTTGATAATTGTTCTACTATATCTGTTTTTACTCTCGTGTTCTGTGGTAGCAGAAGCTAGAAGACAGAATTTAATCTTGTCTGCTCACTCAGAGGAAAGGTGTGTTTTATGCTTGTTGTAGGTAACCTCATCTACAGAACTGAGCAAGTGAAACACATTCATATTTCCCAGCAGTTCTTTTAAAAAATATTTTATTTTTTTATTTTATGTGTATGAGTATACTGCTTGTATGTGTGTAAGTGCACCTGTGTCATGCAATGCTCACAGAGGTCAGAAGAAGGTGTCTGATCCTCTGGAACTGGAGTTAGGACGGTTAGCCTCTATGTGGGTGCTGGGAATCAAACCCAGGTTCTCTATAAGAGCAGTCAGTGCTCTTAACTGCTGAGCCAACTCTCCAGCCCCTCCCAGCAGCTTTAAAGGAGAAAACAAGAGAAGAGATAGTAGTCAAAATTATGTTGGAAATTTAGAATAATCAAATTAATAGTAGTTTATACTACCTAGTAAAGTTTTAGCTAGTCATTTTGCATTTTTAGTGGTATTTTCTTTCTTAAATTTTAGTTATAACTAAATAGATAAATGAAGGCTTAGAATATGAATGACAAATGGGTAAACTTTAATTCACTGAGGAAAAGGTGATATTTACTGATAGCAAGAAATGGTATGGTTAGATTAAATATATTTGATTATATTTGAAAGGTTTTTTTCTTATTATATATTTATTTTACAGTAATAAGAGCTTCTTTGATGGGTGGTGACTGGGATAGTTGTCTGTAAATTTAAGGATCCATATTTTGCACATAGTAAGAAATTACCTTTGTCTACGAATGTGAGAGCCTTGGGGTCTTCTCTAAGATCCATGACCTCTCCAGCTATGTGTATGTTTACAGTACCACACATGCAACACATGAATTTCCTCCTATTGAGTGGGGCTTTAAATCCAATTAGATAGCTGTTGATTGCCCCCAAGATAGAAGTGCCACTATTGCACCAGTGTCATTGCTGTGACAGTCATTGATATGGTTTAGGCCTTGAAACTGGGGTTAGACCATTGATTGATGTTCTCCCTTAGTAGCTTGTGTGGTGCTCTCCAAAGCTATGAGAGCTAGCAATAGGGTCTTACTTTCAAGTTCTGGGAGGTAATCAAAGTCTGTGGCAATAGTGTATATAATTTTGGGAGTCTCTGGTTTTTTTTTCTTTTGGTTTGTTTAGTGACTCTACCTCTGAAACTGGCATTATGGGATATCTGCCTTCAAACTGTCTTTTTAATTGAGTTACCAGATAGTATTCTTCCATGTGGCTTTTTTATATGTTCTTCATTTTGATTACCATCTGTCCTCATCTCTGTGTCTCTCCAGTCCCCCACTCCTCTCTCTCTGACTCCCCCAACTTCTTCTCCCCTCTTTACCTGTGTGCCACTCTCCCCCTCCGTGAAAACAAACTCTCTCCCACTGTCCCTCTCTGGTATCCTGGCTTCTGGAGGTACTCCATGTTTAACACAGAAAACTAGAGTCCAGGCTGGATCTGGTTATGGCAGAGAACATGTGGCCCTTGTCTTTCTGGGCCTTGGTTCCTTCACTCAGTATAATTTTTTCCCATTTTCATCCATTTACCTGCAAATTTCATAACTTCAGTTTTCTTTATAGCTGAATAAAATTCCATTGTATATATGTACCACATTTTCATTATTCATTCATCAGTTGATGGACATGTAGTCTGAGTTTAATTCCTAGCTATTGTGAATAGAGCAGCATTGATCATGGATGTGCAAGTGTCTCTGTAGGACAGAGTCCTTCAGGAATATGCCTAGGAGTGTAATGGGTGAGTCCTAGGTTTTTGAGGAATCTCCACACTGACTTTCAAAGTGGCTGTAGTTCCTTATACTCCCACCAGCAGTGTGAAGGTCTGTCTGTGCTCCCTCCCCCTGCCCCCCAGAGTCCTCTGAAGCCAACACTTCCCTGCTTTTCTGGGTTTCTTTGGACTGTGCTCTTGGAATGCGGTCCACAGAAAAGTAGGGATGGAGAGGAGTATTGAATGCAACACTTTCACCCCCAGCCTTGTCTCATCCAGAATATTTGTTTTTCTTTTGAAATAAAGTTTTAACACCTAAAAATTACATTTTAGGGACTGGAGAGAGATGGCTCAGTGGTTAAGAGCACTGACTGCTCTTGCAGAGGACCCAGGTTTGATTCATAGCACCCACATGGTTGCTAACAACTGTCCTTAATTCCAGTTTCAGGGGACTCGATGCTCTCCTCTGGGTTCAGCAGGCATTGCACAACATGAGTAGACTTACATACATGCAGGCAAAGCACTCATACGTGCTAAAAATATATTAAAAATTCTTTTTAAAACAAGTTTTCCATTGGAATTTTACCTTTTATGGAAACATAGAAAAAGAAATGCTTAACAATGCTGGTGACAAGAAACATAACTGTATACTCAGTAGATTTGGACAAATATAAAAATCAGAGGTAGTCATGAAAGAAGTGATGGTCAGTCTAACACTTACTGGATTTAAGCAGGTAACTAATGTCTTTAGTTTTAAAGTAATAGAACAAAATGAAAAGAATGTACAAGATAGCAAGGAGCAATTAGACATTTAAATAACAAATACCATTTGTAACAGCACCTAGAACATGAGCTACCTAAGGGGTAAGTTTAATTTAATATATGTAAATATAAAAAAGAAAGTACTAATTACCTGTAAATGGCATTTTGGTGCAGACTTTTTCTCATGCATAAACACACTCACTGAGAAACACTCTTTCTGTCTCTGTCTCTCTTAAAGGCTTATTTTAATTTTTCTTCCTTTAATTATAGTGATTTGTCTTGACCTAAGAATAACCATAGATCTCTTTAATTTAAAACATAATTTTATTAACTACATAATATTCCATTGTACATTATAACAAAATCCATTCATTTTTATTTCATTTTTTAACCTTTTAAAAATTAGTTTCATACCTGTTCTGAAAACTGTATGAAACAAAAGCATACAGCTTAGTAGTGTGTTAAGTGGCTATTAATTTAATTGTCATATAGGCTGTTACCCTTGAAGCCTCTTTGTGCCTTTCCCCTTCCTCTTCTACAGGAAACTGCTATCTGATAATCACTTCCTTGTCTTCTTCGTCTAGTTGATTACTTGAGTATTCATCCTTGAACAGTACAGTTCTGCTTATTAAAAAAAGCTTTCTGTAAGTGGAATAATTCAGCATGCTTTTTTGTTTTCAGATTATTCTACTTAATGTATTTGTATGATTCATGTACATTGTGTATACATTTTTGTTGCTAGGTTTTATTCATTCTATGTTAGCAATATGTCATGCTTTCTTTCCCCCTGCTGTTGGTGTGCTTTTGGGTTGCCAGTTTCTGACCATTAGCAATATTGTTGCTCTGTGGTTATGTAGAGTAGTGCTTGCTTCTGTCTCCTGACAGCCTTCTTTCCCAGGGCAGGGGTCTGAGAACTGCAGTGTTCTCATTTCTCAGAAACTTCTGTTAGAAATGCAGAGTTTTGGGCTCTACCCTAGACCTTAGGAATAAGAAACTGTAGGAATGGGTCTCAGGAATCTACAGTACAGCAAGCCTTCCAGGTGATTCTAATGAGAAATTAAGAAATGAGCAGAACCATTCTTTTTTATTATTATTATTTTTATTTTATGTGTATGTGTGTATTTTGTATCAAGTCCTTGATGCAAAAGAGGGCAACCGTTACAGACGGTTGTTAGCTGTTATGTGGGTGTTGGGATTTAAACTTGGGTCTTCTGCAAGAACAGCTAGTACTGTTAACTGCTGAGCCATCTCTCCAGCCTCTGAGCTGAACCATTCTTAACTTCATATAGATATCTTAATAAGTTAATGCAACTCTCAGTTTGGATAATGCTCATATTTAGTCTGTAGTAACTTAAACTTTTTTCTTTTTAAAGACAGGGTTTCACTGTGTTGCCCACATTGGCCATGGATTCATGCCATATTCTCAGCCTCCCAGTTCCCAGACTATAGGAGTGACCACCAGGCCTGGCTTAACCTGAACTGTATTATAGTTCTTTTCCTTTTACACTTTGCTTCTCTGCTGTTTTTGCTTTATTTATTTTTTTAGACAGGGTCTCATGTTGCCTAGGCTGGTCTCAAACCCACTATGTTACCAAGGATGACCTTGAACTTCTGATCCTTCTGCCTCTATCTCCTGAGTCCTGGGATTACAAACATGACACCGTGCCTGGGTTTATGTGTTCTTAGGGATTGAACCCAGGGCTCAGTGCATGGTAGTCAAGTGTTCCACTAACTCAGCTACTGTTCATTTTTGTTATGTCTTCAGAAGTTGATAGAGAACACTTTGAAAGAATATTAAATTTAGACTTTCTTCTGTATTTTGCCTTCATTAATGAAAATGATTTAGCAATCATTGGGAATGACTTGAAATAATCAGTGTCTTTACATATTTTTATGAAAGTATGGAATATCTGGGGCTAAAAAAGATGGTTCAGCATTTGAGAGTATGTGCTGCTTGTCCAGTGGACCTGAGTTTGGTTCCCAGCACCCATATCAGGCAGCTTACAATGCTTGTAACTCCAGTTCTGTAGCAGATCCAAATGCCTCTGGCTTCCATGGGTCCTTGTACCCACGAGCATATACCCACATACACATTATTAGAAATAATAAAAATAAATCTTTAAAAAAGCATAGCATTTTCTCTAGAGCAGGAAAATATTTTATTGAAACTAAAAAAATTTAATTTTTAAGATAATGTAAAACATGTTTCCTTTTAGATAAGTGATGAAGAGAAGACCCTTCGTGAACAGGAGATTATTGCCTCCTCACCAAGTTTAAATGGAGTTAAGTGGGAATCGGAGTCAGTTTATAAGGTATGTGAACATTTAAAATGCCTTTAGGATTTGCTAAAGTGGCACACTCAGCTTTATCTGCACTTTTAGTTCACACATTGGCACAGCCACTGCCTCACCTGCTCAGACTTCATTCTGTAACTCTGGGGTGTGAGGATGTTCAATAACTCAGTCTCTGGCATCCTTTTCACTGACATCCTCCTAACTCTGCTGGGGCTCAGACTGCACTGCAGGCCATTCTGTTAAAGGAGAACCGTCCTGGCACTGTTTGGGCTCCGGTACCTGGTGCAGGGCTGTCTCCTTGAGGATGCCATCTCTCATTTGGCTCCAACACTCTTTTTATGTTCTCAGGCTCTTTCTGTGTTCTTGCGTGGTCTCATTGCATTGGGGCTCTGACACTAAGCCTGCTTGCTTTCCTGTGGCAAAGCCTTCCTTAACCTATTTGATTCCAGCTTAGTGGTTGGTGCTCTTGGTTTCCCCTGTCCTTTGAGCACAGACACCCTCTTTATGCAGACCTAAGAAATGACTTTAGAATAAATAGTTTTAGAGGGGAAGAAGAGAAGCTGAAATTCAACTTACATTTTTTTTTTTTCTTTTTTGTCTTTTGTGAGACAGGGTCTCCCTGTAGCCCTAGCTGGCCTGGAACTCACTATGGAGACCAGGCTGGCCTCCATTCTCATAGAGATCTGCCTGCCTCTGCCTCCCCCAAGTGCTGGTATTAAAGGCCTACACCACCACACCTGGCTTCAACTTAAATTTGATAACTGCAATCCCATAGTTCCCTTTGAAGAAGAATGCATGTATTGTCATGAGTAAATACAGTAGTATACTGCATTTACTTTGGTATTAGTGATTTAAACTAGGGTCTTTCACTTGCTATGTAAGTTCTCTTCCACTGAGCTTCCTCCCTTTTTAAAAAAATTATTTATTTAAAAAAAATTTTTTTGGGACTGGAGAGATGGCTCAGTGGTTAAGAGCACTGGCTGTTCTTGCAGAAACCCTGGTTTGAATCCCAGCACCCACATGGTAACAACCCTCCATAACTCCAGTTCAGGGAATCAAATGTGCTCTTCTGTCCTCCGGGGGCATTGCATGACATGGGCGCATTTACATACATGCAGGCATAACACTCATACACATAGATAAAATAAATAAAAATTTTTTTTGATTAAAATATGTATAAGTGTTTTGCCTACATGGGAAACAGTTTTCATCTACTTTTTTTTCACTTGGTTTTAAAAAGAAAATATTTTTCAAAATGATGATTTTTACAGTTAACTGAGATCATATTCTCTTCATCTCTTAAATGTTAGGATAATTCATAGGACTTAACCTGTGTTTAACTTAAATAAATATTTAAATACTTAAGGCAAATATTTAAGAGCAAAACTGAAGACTTATTATTTCCATTTCTTAGGGTTGAAAGTAGTTTTTCTAATATATTTCCTCTAGTGGAGGAATAGAAACTTAGATGAAGAAATTGGAAATTACTTTGGTTATGAGTGATTTATTTGTATACAAATTGGGACAGTATTTAACACAGAAATCTGAATCTGTCATATGTGAATGTAACATGTTAAGAGATTTTGAAGTAGAAGTTTGAAATTTTGGGGTTTATTATTCAGAATTCATAGGTTATGACAAAAAAGCATCTGTTCTACATCATTTGTTTTTATACTGATAATTCTTCCTAATGATAATTGTTTAGTCTTAAGGAATCATTTTTCTCTTTTCCTTTTGGATCTGCTGGAACTAATGGAATTCGTTGTTGGACTGCTTATGTGTGAAGATTTAGGATCTCCTCTAACAACAGGCACTGACCCATTTTCCTGTTCCTCTCTGAATTCAGATCCCCTTTGCTGATGCTCTGGACTTGTTCCGAGGAAGGAGAGTCTACTTGGAAGACGGCTTTGCGTATGTGCCACTTAAGGACATTGTGGCAATCATCCTGAATGAGTTTAGAGCCAATCTGTCCAAGGCCTTGGCAGTAAGTGTTTCCTTTTACTCTGTGTGACATGATTATCCATCCCTGCTTGTGCTCCTTTCAGGGAGTAAGGGATATTTAGATTGCTTATGGTACTGAGTTGTTAGTTCAGCAATCCCTAGGTCTTTATTTGTTAGTTTCCCCCCCTTGTTTCTTATCTCCTCTTCTAATAATGTAATGGTTAACTGTCTGCCTTCTTCATGTCATTTCTTCTTAGAGATGGACTTCGTATGTGACCTGTAAAACCACCATGGCTCCGGGTAGAAATAACCCTGAGATTTCTGTTGGGAATTAGTTCTTTGGTATCCATTTAGGGCATCGTAGAAGCAAGTTTTGGTTTTCTAAAAATAAAAGATGTTGGGAGTTCAGCCCAGGGCCTCATGCATGCTAAGTGAGAGCTTTTCTACTTAGCCCTGAGAAAAATTGTACTACAAGCAGAGACGTGCTGCTGTTGCAGTAGACAGCCCAGGACTGGGTGAAGTTGCAAGCAGCTGCGTTGACTAAATGATAGTATATTCAGTTTGCTGAAGTCTTGAATCTTAGTTGGTGACACATTTTGAGACAAGGTATCCCTGTAGCTGCAGCTGGCCTGGATTTGCTAATGGAGACCAGGCTGGCCTTGAACTCACAGAGATCCCCCTGCCTCTGCCTCCCAAGTGCTGAGATTAAAGGCATGTGCCACCACGCCCTGCTTAGTTGTTTTTTTTAATGCTTTTGTATTCAATGTGGAAGAGTACTTCAAAATCAAAGTATTATGAAGCCTTTTAAGGCTCTAGTGATTACTGTAAAGCATATGGTAAGATTTCTGTTCTAGTTGCTTTTCTGTTTTGCTAAACACCATGACCAAAAGCAACTTGGAGAAGAAAAGGCTTATTTGGTGTACACTTCGAAGTAAAAAAATCCATCACTGAGGAAAGTCAGGAACTCAAGCAGGAGCTGTGGTAGGAAGCAGGGGGGAACACTGCTTGCTCGTGCTCAGCCAGTTTTCTTACACAACCCAGGATCAGGGGTGGCACTGCCCACTGTGGGGTGGGTCCTTCTCTATCAGTAAGCAATTGAGAACATGCCCCACAGACATGCCCGTAGGCCAATCTGACCTAGGTGATTCTTCAGTTGAAATTTCCTCATAGAACTGTGGGCTGTTTCAAGTTGAGAGCTGAAGCCAACTAGGAGGCTTTCCTTTTGAGTTAAAAGTTGTAGTGTTTGGGGCTGGAGAGATGGCTCAGTGGTTAAGAACACTGGTTGTTTTTGCAGAAGACCTGGGTTTGAATCCCAGCACCCACATGGCAGTTAACTGTCCGTAATCCAGTTCCAGGGGATCCAACAGCCTCTTTTGTCCTCAGGGGGCATTGCATGACACGGGTGCACTTACCTACATGCAGGCAATACATCCATACAAATAAAATAATAAATAGGCAATACATCCATACAAATAAAATAATAAATAAAAATTTTTTTAAAAATTTGTAGTGTTTTCTGGTATAAACAATTCTTACTACTGACTCTAGGGTCACTTAAACATGTATCATTCTAAAAGAGTGATCCTCTTTTTATTATATGAGGATGTTTATGGAAACACCTTATAGATATTTAACCTTTTTTGACATGAAGATCTGTGCATGCACTCAATGTGCATATGTGCACATGTGGTGCCAAAGATGGAACCTCATGTGTGGTAACAGTCTCCCACTGAGCTGTCCTTCCAGCCCTGATTAGATATGACATGTGGTGCCAAAGATGGTCCCTTCATGTGTGGTACATAACACATGGTCTACCACTGAGCTATACTTCCAGCCCTGATTAGATATTTACAGCATTTATTATTAGGTCAACATCACAATTACCTGAACAAATAGTCGGACTCAAATTACTTTTTATTTTTATGTGTCTGAGTGTACTGCCTTCATGTGTATAAATGTACCCATGTCGTGTGCAATGCCTGAGGAGGTCAGAAGGAAGCATTGGATCCCCTGGAACTGGAGCTATGGATGGTTGTTAGCCGTCATGTAGGTGCTGGGAATCTAACCTGAATCTTTTGCAAGAGCAGCTAGTGCTCTTAACTGCTGAGTCATCTCTCTAGCCCCTTAATGAAATTTTTTTAAGAATGGACTGGAACTCGGAGGACACTAGCTCCCCTAGCTGTCTTTTAGAAGCGTCTGCCTCCTGAAACTGTGCTTATGGATCACTCTTGTCCCTTCAACCTGTGCAGATGGAGCTGTCTGTGTCCTCACCCTATGCCTATGAAACTGGAGCTCTGGAGCTCGGTTTCTCCTACTCTGTCCCTGAGTCAGGCAACACCCATAATTTATTCAAAATGATTTCTGCAGCTTCATTGGGAAGTACAGTTCCTGTTGGGCTCTACCCTTAATCTTCACAGACTATCTTGTCTTTTCTTCCCTAGCTCACATTCATCCTTTCCCAGTCTCCACTGTCCAATGAAAGGAGTGGACATGCTGCTGCGGTGCTTTGATATGCTAATTCTCAAGCATACTTGAGTTCATTTATTATCTTATTGGGTGGAATACCAAATTGAAGTTGCCAAGGAGATGCCTGGTTATCAGACCCAAGAGCACATGGTTTTGCTGGGGTTAATTAAAAGTCATTAGTCCAGATTATGTCCATTATTAAATGTCATTCCCATATGTGTGTGTGTGTGTGTGTATTAATAATTTCTCTTCATCCTTAATTCTGTGATTTAAAAAAATCTTTATTACAGTTGACATGTTTAACTTGTTTCTTCATTTTTCTGTGACTTTGTCTGGGAATCTGCTAATAGGTAAGAATTGTGTCTTTTACCACTACAAGCCCCTGCTTGTCTTTTATCAGTCATTCTTCTTTTATTATTCTTAGTTTCATTGTGCATTTCTCTGTTGACGTTTGGATAACACTTCTTTGTGTGAAACTGGCATACTCTTTTCAGGATATTAGACGTCCCTAAGTGCTGTCCACTAAGCCAGTAGTGGCCCCTAGTCTCTATGGAAACCCCCCAAAACACCATGTGTCTCTGAAAGCTTCTCGGATGTTGATACGAGCCTTGAGCCATTCACAGTGGAGCCAGTCACGGTGGCTCCTCCTCAGTTTTTGGTCTGTGCCTGTGGTGGTATAGTTCTGGCTGAGTGATAAGAGAGTTGTTTGGAGATTTCTGCAAAAAATTTTCCTTGTTAAAATAAATAGGCATATGGGGCCAGATGTGGTGGTGTACGCTTTTAATCCCAGCACTTAGGAGGCAGAGACAGGTGAATCTATGTGAGTTCAAGGCCAGCTTGGTGTATGTAGTGAGTTCCAGGCCAGCTGGAGCTACAGGGAGACCCTGTCTCAAAAAGACCAAAAAGAAAAAAAGAAAAAAAAGGGCATATGGGAATGGGATAAGTAATCTCTGTACCCTCTGGATATTGTTGTGATTGAATATGATGCCTCTAACAGCCATTGTGAGGTAAGCAGCTAACATAAGCACAGCACATTATGATAGAATTCAAGACCCATGGAAAACATCGAGTCTTTGTTAATGTCAGTGAGTTACTGAGTTAACCAATCTTGGGAGCACTAAGATTGATTGCTAGGTAAGGTGATAAGGCTTCATTTTTATTTTTTGTTAAGGAACTAATTCATGAACTACTTTTTTTTTTGAGACAGAGATTCCCTATGTAGGCCTGGCCAGCCTGGAACTCTCTGTAGACCACGGTGGTCTTGAATTCACAGAGATCTGCCTGCCTCTGCATGTAGACACATACTGAGAGAAATGTGAAATTCTCTATGTTCTTAAGTTTGTAATCAAATACTTTTTTAGCAAACTGTACTTATGTTTGGATCTTTGGTTGGCCATACAGCAGCATATAAACTTTGAATTCTGTTCCTCCTTGGCTCCTGCTCATTCACCCTCTATAATATAAATTTATAGTATTTCAAAATGATTACCAGCCTACAGAAAAACTATGTCAAAAACATTAACTTTTCCTTTAAACTATTTGAGAATAAGTTCCTGGTCTAGGGCTGGGTATGGTGGCATGTGCTTTTAATCAACACATCATTAAAGCCAGACCCTTTTCATTTTGTGTCCCTAAGATTTCTTGTTAACATCACAATATAAAACATAGTGCAATTCTTAAAAGTTCCACAGTCTTAAAAAACTTCACTGCTTTAAAAGACCAAGTCTGAAATCTTTACTGTAACTGTTGGCTCCTGTATAATCAAAAACAAATGCCCTCTTATTTCAAAAGGGAATACCTGCCTGGCATGGTGGCACATGCCTTTAATCCCAGCACTTGGGAGGCAGAGGCAGGTGGATCTCTGTGAGTTCAAGGCCAGCCTGGTCTACGTAATGAGTTCCAGGGCAGCTGGGGCTACAGGGAGACCCTGTTTCAAAAAGACCAAAAAAAAAAAAAGGGAATACCTGAGCACCCTTAACACTTCTGTGTTTCAAAGAGCTCAGGCAGCTCCATGTTTCCATCTCTGCCATCTGCAACCATGAGGTGCCGGAGGCATTGTCAGGAAGAAGGGCTTTGGGAAGTCCCAAAGAAAAATTTGACAGGCAGTAAATGATTCTTTCTTGGAGTAACAGAGAAAAGTAAAGATTTTAATTTTTAGAAAAAGATTTCCTTTTTTACATTTAAAAAGTTTACTTGGGCCAGGCGTGGTGGCGCACACCTTTAATCCCAGCACTTGGGAGGCAGAGGCAGGAGGATCTCTGTGAGTTCAAGGCCAGCCTTGAGTTCCAGGACACCTGGGGCTACAGGGAGACCCTGTCTCAAAAAGACCAAAAAAAAAAAAAAAAATCTGAAAAGCTCAGAATCCTCTTAAATCTTTTGTCTTCTTTTTGAAGGCAGCGTTAAGTTCTTTAAACAGTGGTTAAATATAAGTAACGTCTTTTTTTGGTGCTGGATGTCAAACCCTGAGTCTCATTTCCAGTTTCCAGCAAATGTTAGCATGTGCCCATAGAAATTTTCAAGCAGGAATGGATTTTAGAATTGTATGGTATCATGGTACCTTGGCCTTTGTCTTCAGAT